TTCTAGCCCTAATATATCTTGGCCACAAACCAAATCTGGTAATAGCTCTTCACTTGAAAATATTCTTTTCTATCATTCCAAATACTATACTTTTAAACAGCAACTTTGCTACAAAAATATTCTTTTCCTCAAACAACTATGCTCTGCTGACAATATCACACTGCTTAATTGGTTCTATCTCTCTTCCAGATTACTTTATATCCCCAAAGGGCCTGGTTCCTCTACTTAGAAAATACTATCTTGTCTCACTCTTTCTCTTGCACTATTATTCCCTCCTTTCAACCTTCTGGACTTAACTTATTTGCATATCAAACTAATTTAATTAATAAATCTCACAAGCCCTGAGTGCTCGCCTATTATAATAATAACATTATCATTAGTCAAGTTCACAAAGTCTTCTATTAATCTAACTCTATTTCCATTACTCACTGGCAACATAATATTATTCTTTTCTTTCTACTTGTTATCCTCTTTTCTTCTATCACTTGTAAGCCCTGTCAAAGCTGTGTTTAAACTCCTTTCATATCTCTAATCACTATACACTTGAAGTCTTTTTAATCCTTTCTACCTAATTCTTTGGCAGAAAATCTAATAATCAACTTAAACTTAATGCCAACTATATTGATCTTATCTATTCTACCACTTTTAAAAACCTACTTGAGATTTCATCTTTATCTTCTATTAATATTGTAGACTCTCTTACTTTATCTTTTTTTTATAACAATGCTGCTTCTAATAATCTGTTCCAAATTGCTTTAGCTAATTAATCTTATCAAGAGTTCACCTTCTATACAGATGGCTCTGTCAAAAATCTTGGTACTGAGGAATGTACTATGGGTATTGGATAGGCTTAAGTTCACAATAACTCTGTTATTTACAGTTTCTCTGCTCAAATCTCTAACTGGCTTTAATTATATAAAGCTGAGCTTCTTGCTATCCTCTCTGCCATTTCTACTCTTCTATACAATTCTTTTGTTAATATTTATATAGACTCCCAATCTGTAATTTTCAAGTACAATAAGCTTCTTCAAACTCCTCACTCTACAACTAAATATTTTAAATTTAATTCCTGGCCAATCTGGCATATACTTATTAACTCAATTAAAGTATATAATATTGACTTAACTTTTCTTAAAGTCCAAGCCCACAGTAATGACACTTTTAATAATCTAGCTGACCATCTTGCTAATGATTATACATCTTCCCCAACCTTATTATTTAATTATTCTAATATACACAACCTTTCTTTCTTTCTTTAATAGAAAAATTTCTCGATTGATAGCCCTTCTAGATGCTTTATTAAAAATATCTGCAATGCTCAAACTATTTTTATATAGTTCTCCCAAAGACATACTAATAAATAGTCACACTTTTCTAATCTTATTGACTGGAATTCTACATAGCTCTACTTTAATAATAATCATAAACATTTATACAATTTTACTAATTCTAAACGTAGCCATCTTAAATCTTTTAAATTTAAAATATTACTTAATAGTCTACCTACACACTTCCATTTTCACTCTATATTACCTAATCTATTCTCATCTTTTAACTGTTTTCAATACAATTTTCCTAACTCTCCTTTTCACTACTCCTGTTCCCACTATAATCTTCTATTCTAAATTATTAATTCTTCTATTTCAAAAATTAGTTTAAATGCCAATCTTGATCTTGCTTCTCATGAACTCAATTACTTAATATATACAATTTTATCTCACCCTTCCTTCTCCTTTTATTCTTCTACTCTTTATCTATACTCCCTTCATTTTACTCTTAAAGATCTTATTCCTTCTTCACTTATCCAATACATATTACCATTTAACATATCTTATTCAATAGCTTCTCAGCTCATTATCAAAATTCTTATTAAAATTTCTAATCAAATTTACGAACAAATATAGAAATCATACTGTATTAACTTTTCTACTTAGAAAAAAGCACATCAAATATTATCAAATTCTACCTCTATTCAAGTTAGTCAATGATCTCCTATTCATCTTTATACTAGAACTTGTAACACTTTCACATACAACTATCTATGCAACTTACCTGATGAATTACATTCTGATTCCTCTTCTTGCCCCCAGCTAGGCTCGCTAAACTTAAATTTAATATTTGGTTCACTTTGTGGATCCAGTTCAGTATTTCTACTAATCATATATTAATTATTCAAATCTAAGTGAGCTTTGACCACTCTAGTAGATTTAGATCACAGATAAATTAGTCTAAGCTTTTATTCTTGCATGTAGTTTATATTTATTCATTTATATATGAATTAAGTCTTTATTTAGTTTTGTTTCTTTATGATTACTTATATAAATTACTCAATAAAGATATGAACAAGACCACACCTTTTAACAACAAAAAAAAACAAAACTTAATCAATTCAATACCTCTATTAACAATATTTTTAATCAAAATAAACTTAACAAAACTGGAAAAAAATCTTCAAAATTATCATTTATAACTCAATCAAATACATTACTTATAAGAAAATCCCAACTATTTTACTCTATAAAAATCAAGAAAAACCCTCAAATAATCTCCTTTATAAACAATGTATACTCATATTATTACTTAAAAACAACTTCAATAAACTTGATTTCAAAAATTTACAATGTAACTATATTACTTAATACTATAATAACAATACTCCACCAATCCTTTAACACAAATATCTAGAAGAATTCAAAATAAAAACTAATTATTTATTTAAAATTCTAAACTATTCTACAAAAATGTTCTTACCAAAAATATTAACAATATTAGAATCAATAGACTTCTACAAAATAATAATCTACAAACCAACTATCAAAATATACAAAATTCTAAATATCAACACTTTATCAAATACTTCCAAGAATCTCCTAATCCTTCTATTCCACCCAAATACTTTCAACTCTACCAACCACATTCAAAACTATTTTATTTATATTCTAATCTATTATTAGAAATTCTATTTACTAAATAAGATAATATAACTAAACCTCTTCTAATAACAAAGCAGCAGGCTTTTCAGAAACTTGCTATAAACATATCAATAAATTACTTTCCAAAAGTTAAAACATTATAAGAATATTTCTATCTAAATATTTTTCTCTTCAACAAATATTTACATTTTGGAAACTTTCTAATATTTATCTTATTTCCAAAAACAAATTGGGATTTTATGCTTAACCAAGTGCAACTCATCTCAATTATTGAGCCATTCAAAAAATGTCTAACAAAAATCTTTATACAAAGACTTAACTACATTATAAACCAAAACTACCTCTTATCAAATCTAAACTTTGTAGCTACCAAAAGCTTTTCTATATATCATCCTATTCAAATTATCTATAGTACTATTACAAGAAGCTTGGATATTATTCTAGAATATGCCCAAAGCTTTTAATAGAATTAATATTAATCAACTTCAAGTTGCAAAAGAATAGAAATTTTTGTTCAAGGCATCAACTTTATTACTAATCTTCATACTAATCGTAAAGCCAAAGTAATAACTGCTTATAGTTTTACTTAAGCAATTAATATCAAGTCTGGTATAAAACAAGGTAAAACATATTTACTATTACTTTGAAAAATTCATTACAACTCTATTTTATTATTTATTTATAATACTTACAAAGAGGATTTTCTTAAAATTACAACAATGACACCACTTAATATTAAATCAAACAGCCTCTTTAACTTTACTACAATTTTGCTTATTGCATTCATGAATAATACAGTTTGGAATACTCCAAACAAATTAACTCTTCAAAAAATTCTTAATGAATTAACAGAACTTTACAAAATCAACAATATCAAGTTAATGCCCAAAAAAGTGATCTTCTTGTACTCAACCCCAAAGCAACAAATCTATCTCTTAACTTTAATAATCTTACTATGTCATCATGTAAGGCTAATATATTTTAAGATATTTAGGTATCTATTATAATAAAAAAAGACTCTACCGAACCAACAATAAAAAAAATCTAAAACAAAGTAGAAAATTTGCTATATACAATTAAATACAAAAAACTTTTTCTAATACACATTACACATATTATTAATACAATTCTAAATTTATTGCTAGAATATCTTATACAAATAATTTTACTAATACAATTCTTCTTGAAATCACTATATAGAACATTGAAGAATTGTCGATTAAAGCTAATATTTTAATAAATTGAAATTAGTGATGATGATGAATTATTAATAGTATGTGCAAAGAATAAAAAAAAAACTAGAGAAATACATTTATACGTTTTTTCCATTAAAACTGAGAATTAGTATGTTTTTTACTAAAATAATTAACTGACATAAATTTTTATATTGATTTTTATTTTTTATCTTTAGTTGATAAAAGATTTGTAATAGATAGATTTCACTTGATCACTTCTAGCAAAGGAGAAAGATTACTACTTATTGACTTTTCAAGAAAGCTTTGTAATATGTGGACCCTTATTGTCAAAAGGAGATGCAAGTAGTACAAATAAACTTTTGAAAATAAACAAATTCAAGAACAATGCATAATTTAATCAGATAAAATAATTTATACAATTAATAGGAAAGTTTTAATTGAAAAGTTGGTTTCTAATAATTGGGTCGAATACTTACAAAAAGAATTGAAAAATATAGATAATATTATATCCCTATCTGAAAGAACAATTAATATTATAACTAAAATTATAAAGAGCCAAAGTTATAACCTTAAAAGAAATAAATTTAAAAGGAAATTTTTAAAATAGAGTTTGGAATTAAATGATGAATCAGTTAAGCTCATAGTAAATCATTTAAATAGTTCAATTAAAAAGAAACTAGATATTCTTCCAACATTTTATTCTAATACAAAAAATTTTATAATATATTGCGAAGTTCTTGAAAATAATAATTTTATTATATTTATATATATTGGTGTAATTATCTAAACTTTTGAACTTTCTTCCATTAAGATATATTATTATTGGAATGAGTGGAATCATCATTTAACGGACTTTGATTTTGAAAATACAATGTTTAAAGATCTTTTGGATTTATTTAAAAGCTGGGCTTCAAGGAGAATTCTTTCTGTTTCAAGTTATGAAACAATTTATAAAAATTGGGATGTTGAATTTGGTAAAGAAAAAAAAGCTTTTCAAAGAATTTTTATTTTATAATATTAATAATGAATTTTATTTAATTTGCTATGAAAAAATTTTCATGAAAATATTTATTAAATTAAAGAATGATAAAATGATTCAACATTTATGCAGCAGGTGTATAGATATGTGCGTAGAGAATAAAAATTATTTGATTTTTAAAATTTCTTTGTTGAGTGTTATTTTTGAAAACTTTAATGATTTATCAGAGAATTATTTTTTATTTATTGCAAGTATTTTATATTTAATTGGATTTGTAGTTCTTTTGGCTATCATATATCCAAAATCTATTTCCTTACATCTTTCCAGTTATAGAAAATATTATCATTTATTTAAAACATCATATCTTGATATATTCTTCTATTCTCTGAGATCATTGGATTAGTTTTCAAAAAAGGTTTAAAATTTGGTTTTAAAATTTTCAAGATAAATATTACTTTTTTTGGGATTTAGTTGTAAAACCAGCTATTGGTTACCAAATTTTGTTTCTTATCCAAAAGAATATAAATTTTGGAAAGAATTATTGTTTACTAGCCCTAATTCTTTTATATATACTAATAAGCTTGAAATGATAAATAAAGAATTTTATAGATATTTAAATAGAGAATCATTGCTTAAATTTAAATAGAATGCTTATGAAAAAAAATATTATTTAGCAATCTGAACAATTTATACAGTTTATCTTTTAAGCTTCATAATTGCTACAACTTATTACAAAAGTATTTCTCAGACTAATCTGGTTATTCTCTTAAATACTACTATTTTTCTTGAGATTTGGTATTTATTTTTTGAATTGCGGCAATTTATTTTCTTACCATTAATCTATATATTTAGTGTATAGAACTTTTTTGGTAATATGAATTTTAATATATTGTGTTAATTTTTTATAATATTATAACTAACATTAACTTATTATTATTACAGTTGACTCCTTCTAAATACATGTTCTCTAAGTGCAGGTTATATTAAATTTTCTCTAAATGCAGTTTTTTTTTGGTTCCAAGCTATATAAAGTTATAATAAACTTATATTCTCTAAGTGCAGATTCTTTTAAATGCAATTTTTTTTTTTTTACTTAAGAAAATTTTATAGGTCCTGGCGAGCTACACTTAGAGGGAGTCAACTGTATTATTACTTTATAAAAAAGATTTAAGTGCATTGTTATTGCCGATAGTATTAGCAATTAAATGGCTTCAAAATAATGACATGCCAATAGAAATAGCTACTTTTACTACTTTATTATTAGAAATCAAGTTTCTCTTATTTTTTCGTGTAATTAAGTTTTCTAGTACTTACTTCTTTATGATGCTTGGAGTTGCACAAGAAGGGTTTTCTTTTTTGGTAATAATAGAATTTATTATATTTTCCTTTACATATTCATTACACATTTTATTGTGATATTCCACTCCTAATAGTGCAAGTAAAGAATACTCTTCAAATGGTAAACAAAATACAAATATGTTTGGAATGATGGGTTCAGCAATTTCAGCTGTTTATCTTATGCTAACTGGTAAATTTAAATAATCTTGTTTTTTGAAGTTACTAATATCACCAGTAGAGATAAATGAAAAACTTTTTACTTTATATATAATACCTATTTCTAAATTTATATATTTTAATAGGAGACACTGCACCAATTTTTGACTGGAATTTAAACAATAACCCCACTTTACTTATTTTCATGATTATATTTTCTTTTGTAGCAACTATTTACTTAATGAATTTGTTTATCAGAGTACTAAATAATTTATTAACTGATACTAGAAAAGAGTCATGTTTACTTCTAAAAGCTGAGGTATACTATTATAGATTTTATTTATATTATATATATATATATTTAAAGTTTTATTATAATTATTTAGATATTAGAAAAAATTGAATTATTATATATGTTACCTCATCAGTGAAGAAAAGTAAATTGGTTTCCATTTGTTATATAAGTTATTTAATTACATGCAAAACAAAGCCATATTCTTACAACTTATATATTTGTATAAAAAGTTTCTATGAAGGCCACACAATTAATCTTCGTGAGCATATAATTAATATCCAAAAAGGTAAATAGTCAGATTATGAGAAACCTTTTATTTCAAAGGCTCTTAGAGAAGTTCTTCATCTTTCTAAAGAACAGCCTTCTCTTGAACAAATTGAGAAGGATATTAAAGATTTGAAAAGGAAAATTTTTGATTTGAAAAAGGATATTAAATCATTGGATAAAAATATAGAATAGATTTTAATAGTTGGTAGTAACACTTTCAACATTTTAACATTATAATTAATATCTGAAATGAATTATTATTATTGAAACAAATAATAATTTTTAAGTAAAATTATTCTTTGATAGAGTTATTAAGATACCAAATAGTTTCAATTTTACTTAAACACTTCTCAAAGAATATTGGTAATTGTTATTATATATTATCATTATCTATTTTGACCCAGGTCAAAGGACCCATCATGTGACCATATAGCTGAGAATTTTCAAAACTTTGGGCGAAGATATCCCAACAACCATCTGACCAAATTCGATAAAACTTTTTTTATTTGAATTCTATGGATTTGTAGAATTTGAATAAAGTAATTTCATCGAATTTAGTTAGGTAGTTGTCAAGATATCTTTGCTCAAATTTAGAGAAAATCAAAATGTCTATCAAAATAGAAGCTGCACTAAATTTTTTCTCTAACTTTGAGTGAAGATATCATAACAACCACCTGACTAGATTCGACGAAATTTTTTTATTCGAATTCTATTATTCAATAGAATTCAAATAAAAAAAAGGTTTGACGAATTTTATTAGATTGTTGTCGAGATAACTTCGCTTAAAATTAGATAAAAAATTTGGTATAGCTACTACTTTGATGGGTATTTTGATTTTTTTCTGACTTTAGAGCGAAGATATCTCGACAGCCACCTGACTAAATTTGATGAGATTCAAATAAAATAAAGTTTTATCAAATTTGGTTAGATGGTTGTCGCTCAAATTTTTGTAAATTTTCAGGCATATGGTTATATGATGGGTCACTTTGACTCGGGTCAAAATAGAATTGGCCTAACTAATAAATGATAATTCTACTTTTTTTTAGCAGAATCACCAAATTTATACGTACATATTTGTGCGCATTCTTTGCAGGCAGTAAGCTGGACAGTGGAACGAAATCAGGCGAGAATACATAAACTATATCGTTACCAACAGAC